AATGTCTCCTATGGGAAAGGCAGGATAAATGATTAGATTTTTCATTACCAGTTTTCAAAGTAACGTTTTTCTAAAATAGCTACTTCATATGGTTCAATTGAATTTGTCTGTTCCTTTTTTAGTGTCATTATGGATTCAGTGTTTTGCAATCCACAATAATGGTTATTCTTTTAATGTTCACATTCTCAGAAATTTGGCTAGTGGAAGCCCTTAAGCTTGCTTTTCTGTCTGTTTGACCTTAGCTCATTAATTTTGGGTAACACCCTTGCTTTCTGGCATTGCAGGATGCCCTTGTACTGTTTCTTTAGAAGAGTAATCTTTTATGTTAAGAAACATGCATAGGTGCTGGAATACTCTTAGAAACACAAATACAAAAGACATTGTAGAGAATCCATCATATCTCTATCTAACAATTACACTGCCCTTGCCATCTTTTCCTAGTTGTGTTCACTCATCCCAAGAAAGTAAGCCTGTTCCTAAAATTCTAAGTCCTTGGTCATTTCCCCACTCTTTTTTTTTTTTTCTCGAGACGGAGTTTCGCTCTTGTTACCCAGGCTGGAGTGCAATGGCGTGATCTTGGCTCACCGCAACCTCTGCCTCCTGGGTTCAGGCAATTCTCCTGCCTCAGCCTCCTGAGTAGATGGGACTACAGGCACACGCCACCATACCCAGCTAATTTTTTGTATTTTTAGTAGAGACGGGGTTTCACCATGTTGACCAAGTTGGTCTCGGTCTCTTGACCTCGTGATCCACCCGCCTCGGCCTCCCAAAGTGCTGGGATTACAGGCATGAGCCACCGTGCCTGGCGACTCCCCACTCTTAACACACATAGAAACCCTTAGAATTTGAAGATTTAAAGAGAATTATGCACTTTTTGATTTTCTTTAGATCTTGTCTGATTTGAATCCAGACTACATGTAATGATTTAAAGAGTTTATTTCATTGAATTTAGCATATTCAGCTGTGTTTCTCTATTCTGAGTCTCAAATTAAAAATAAAATTTATGCTAAGAATAAGTACCTCAAACTTTTCGGGTAATGATAGATGAGAAAGAGCACATAGAAAAAACTCAAAATCGACCAGGCACAGTAGCTCGTGCCTGTAATCCCAGCACTTTGGGAGGCCAAGGCAGGTGGTTCACAATGTCAGGAGTTGAGACCAGCCTGACCAACATGGTGAAACTCCGTCTCTACTAAAAATTAATTAACTGGGTGGGTAGAACGCCCCTGTAATCCCAGCTACTCAGGAGACTGAGGCAGGAGAATCACTTGAACCTGGGAGGCAGAGGTTGCAGTGAGCTGAGATAGTGCCACTGCACTCCAGCCTGGGCAACAGAGCAAGACTCTGTCTCAAAAAAAAAAAAAAAAAAGAGAAAACTCAAAATTGTCTGGTTGCAGTGGCTCACACCTGTAATCCCAATACTTTGGGAGGCCGAGGGAGGCAAATCACCAGAGTTCAAGACCAGCCTGGCCAACATGGTGAAACGCTGTCTCTACAAAAATACAAAAATTATCCAGGCATGGCAGTAGGTGCCTGTCATCCCGGCTACTCAGGAGGCTGAGGTGGGAGAATCACTTGAACTCAGAAAGTGGAGGTTGCCGTGAGCTGAGATTGTGCCACTGCCCTGCATTCTGGGTGACAGAGCAAGACTTCGTCTCAGAAAAAAAGAAAACCCTCAAAATTAGTAAGCCTTAGATATAAGACAGGGTTTTTGAGTTCACACTATTCTTCATGCCAATTTGCCAATTTTTCCCATTAGATAGTATAAAGAAACAAAAAATTCTTCAGAGGAAGTAAATAGGCCAGAAGGAGAATTTAATGACGCAGCCTAATAGAAAGCCTTCTGGTTATTTTTAATGAAGGATGGGAGCCCTCTGTTGGCCTTTAAGGAAATTTTAAAATTCAGTTTAAAAGCTTAGTTGAGAGGCTTCAGACTTTATGCATTTTTACATATGTAATCTTAATTTCCTTCAACAGGCGGGGTATAAGGGGCATAGGGAATAATAGAAAATGTATGTGTCATTAGCATACCCAGAACCCAGGTTTTTTGAAGATATGTATTCTGTTATGCTTTGTCTTACCATAAAGCGATATGGTTCCTGATGAAAAGAAATTCTAGATTGTAGATCCAAAAATACAGTTTTAAGTGTTCGATAATTTTGTAGTTTGATAGTTTGACCATGTAAGATCTTTTAAGTGGCAGAACCTGATGCAGCATCCTTATATATCATTTATTTGTATCTTTCCCTCAAATGGTACCACCTATTATTGTACCGGTTAGTTTTGTTTGTTTGGTTTTATATTTTCAAAGTAAAAATAGTCACTAGATTAATTTTACTTATTATCTATTCTTATCTTTCTTACAAACTCTTTTTTTCTAGTGGATTCTCAAACATTTTTGCGGGAAAGTCAAACCATCACTGCCATGTATCTGCATATGAAAAATCTTTTCCTATTAAACCTGTTCCAAGTCCGTCTTGGAGTGGTTCATGTCGTCGAAGCCTTTTGAGCCCCAAGAAAACTCAGAGGCGACATGTTAGTACAGCAGAAGAGGTAAGGAAAACCTGTGATAAAAGCTACTAAAAGTTAGGATCGTTCCCTACATTGATACATTTGCTCTTTATTAAAAATTAGATGTTTAGGAGCCATTCTGTTTTTTTCCTTCCTGTGCTTTTTCTGTCTGAATTACTATTTTCAAGTATTATTGTCTATTCTAAAGGGATTAAAGAGATGTTTTAGCAGGACTTCATTATTGTCTTACTGTTATATCCTCTATTCCTGCTGGACAGCTGACTTTACTTAATCTTTAGTGTTGCCTGAATGGTTTCCCATACATCAAACTATCTGTCTTCGATCTTTATTAGACACTTCCTAAACCCTTGTCTCCTGTGGAAAAACTATTAGACTTCCTCAGCAGTTTTTGATAAAATTTGATTTTAATCCAGGTGAGGTGGCTCACTCCTGTAATCCCAGCACTGTGGGAGGCCAAGGCAGGTGGATCACTTGAGCCCAGACATTTGAGACCAGCCTGGGCAACATGGCAAAAACCTATCTCTACAAAAATTATAAAAATTAGCCGGGCTTGGTGGCGTATGCCTGTACTCCTAGCTTCTGGTGAGGCTGAGGTAGGAGGATTGCTTGAGCCCAGGAAGTCGAGGCTGCAGTTATCTGTGATTGTGTCACTGTACTCCAGCCTGGCTGTCAAAGTGAGGCTGATCTAAAAAAAAAAAAATTTATTTTTAAATTTGATACAATACCTGCTCTTCTCACTAGGAACAATTTTTCTTCAACATAAGAGCAAAATCAAGAAGCTAGTTAAACAATTTACATCCTTTCATTATGAGTGAGATCTTTTTGAAGTTATAGACTCCTGAAAAGAAAGATGTTCTGTTGACACTTGGGTTGTTATATTCATTCAGCAAACCTAAAGGAAAAAGTTAATTTCATGAATATAATAATAGCATATAATTTGCATGATCGGATGTGTGCACGTATCTGTTAGATGACATTTAATATACATCTAATTGTTGTGGTTGCTATGGAGATATAAATGAATAGTAATTACCTTACATTTAAATAGCATTAGAGCCTCCAGTGTACTTTCCATGTGTATTTTTGTTTTTAATCCTTTAACCCAGTGAAATAGGTAGAGATGAGGTAATAGTCATATTTTACAGATTTGGAAAATAAGGGTCATAGATCACAAGACTAGTAAAAGACAGGCCTAGCACCCAGATCTGAGGAAGTTTGGTCAAGTATACTTTCTGTTATACAATACAGCGATATGGTTCCTGCCCTATGAAGCTTTCTGAGCATGGAGTCAAGAATTATAGCATTACATGCTAAATAATTATATAATTTGGTAATCAATGATCTCTTAGGTGGTAAAACTTGATTATTTGTGATATGGTTAGTAAAAATGCTGGGCATATTATTGGTGTAAAGTTTGTATTGAATCTAAAAATGCTAGGTGTGGTGCCTACAAATACAGGCACTTTGGGAAGCCGAGGCAGGAAGATTGCTTGAGGCCCGGAGATTGAGATCAGCCTAGGCATAATAGTGAGATCCTGTCTCTCAGAAAAAAATTAGCTGGGCCTGGTGGCAGATGCCTGTAGTTCTACGTACTCAGGAGGCTGAGGCAGGAGGATTGCTTGAGCCCAGGATTTCGAGGCTACAGTGAGCTGTGATTATACCACTGCACTCTAGCCTGGGAGACAGAGCAAGACACTGTCTCAAAAAAACCCAAAACCAAAACATTCAAGTGGAGGGTGGCAGAACTAGTAAGTCATTTAGCAGGGCAAGGGATAGACAAGAAACTGGCAACATTTGCCTTTGGTGATAAGAGCTGAGCAACAATGATGAAAAGGAGATTTTTTTTTTTTTTAATATTCCACAAATTTTCTTTCTTTCTTTCTTTTTTTTTTTTTTTTTTGAGACGGAGTTTCGCTCCTGTTACCCAGGCTGGAGTGCAATGGCGCGATCTCGGCTCACCGCAACCTCCGCCTCCTGGGCTCAGGCAATTCTCCTGCCTCAGCCTCCTGAGTAGCTGGGATTACGGCACGCGCCACCATGCCCAGCTAGTTTTTTTGTATTTTTAGTAGAGACGGGGTTTCACCATGTTGACCAGAATGGTCTCGATCTCTCGACCTCGTGATCCACCCGCCTCAGCCTCCCAAAGTGCTGGGATTACAGGCTTGAGCCACCGCGCCTGGCCTCTTTTTTTTTTTTTTAATGAAATGGAGTTTTGCTCTTGTTGCCGGGCGTGAGTGCAATGGCGCAATCTCTGGCTCACTGCAACCTCTACCTCCTGGGTTCAAGCGATTCTACTGCCTCAGCCTCCCAAGTAGCTGGGATTATAGGCATGCACCACCACACCAGGTTAATTTTGTATTTTTAATAGAGATGGGGTTTCTCCATGTTGGTCAGGCTGGTCTCGAACTCCCGACCTCAGGTGATTCACCCACCTTGGTCTCCCAAAGTGCCGATAGGCGTGAGCCACTGCCCTTGGCCTACATTCCACAAATTTTTGTGTCATCCTTGCACAGGGGCCATGCTAATCTTCTTTATATGGTTCCAGTCTTAGTATATGTATTCCTAAAGTGAGTCCAAGATTTATTTTCCATTGTATCTTTTATGCTATTGAATTTTATATATAAATTATTTTATGGATAAATAATTACTAGAGTTGTGGGGTTTGTGATTATGCTGCAATCTAGACAGTCTGCAGGTGTCCCCAGACTTTTTACACAGGGGGCCAGTTCACTGTCCCTCAGACCGTTGGAGGGCTGCCACATACTGTGCTACTCTCACTGACCACCAATGAAAGAGGTGCCCCTTCCTGAAATGCGGTGGGGGGCCGGATAAATGACCTCAGGGGGCCGCATGCAGCCCGCGGGCCGTAGTTTGGGGACGCCTGGTCTAAGGGGTACAGAGAGACTTTGCAGAGGAGACAGCAGTAGCATGACAGCTGGGTACAGGGCTCCTAACCCTCCCTTGCCCCATGTTTCTGTTGCTAAGGCTCACCAGGATCCTTTCATTCTGTGTTCATTGTAAGTTTGCCGTTCACCCACCAGCTCTGTGGACCACTGAGCCTTCCTTCTTTATCCTCCTCTGCCAGCCTGAGAACAGGGTTGCATGGGCAATTTTACCCTTCCAGACAACCTTCCAAGCTACAGGTTGAATCAGTGGAAAACATGAAGCTGGAGTTCTCCTTCCTCCTGTAGTGTAAAGAAGATGCTCAGGATTGAATCTACTATATGAAATGAGCAATGCAGGAAATTTTGCCTCTGATTTTAGTTCTGTAGTCTCCTAGTATGAAAGTCGAGCTACCTGTACTATAGAATAAGCCGTATAACATGAGTAAGACAAAATACTGAGCTGAGCCGGACGCGGTGGCTCAAGCCTGTAATCCCAGCACTTTGGGAGGCCGAGGCGGGTGGATCACGAGGTCAAGAGATCGAGACCGTCCTGGTCAACATGGTGAAACCTGTCTCTACTAAAAATACAAAAAATTAGCTGGGCATGGTGGTGCGTGCCTGTAATCCCAGCTACTCAGGAGGCTGAGGCAGGAGAATTGCCTGAACCCAGGAGGCAGAGGTTGCGGTGAGCCGAGATCGTGCCATTGCACTCCAGCCTGGGTAACAAGAGCGAAACTCCATCTCAAAAAAAAAAAAAATATTGAGCTGAACTTTATTATCACACTTTCAACAAATTTATTTAGATACTTATTTTGGGTATTACAAATAATCAAGATATAATACTTTTTAACCCTGGGACTAAATTTATTGATGGGAACTTACAAACTGGATGAAAAATCACTTTCCATGAAATGTTGGGATCCTCAACAGAGGTACATTTACTTATGTTAAAGGAAGATGTATTAACCTTGATGCCGGATTTGTCCATCAACTTTAGGAATATGAAGTCATCTACAAAATTAACCATTAAGATGATATTACCACTGCACTGCTCAGTCTTACAACAGAGGTTTGAAGAGAACACATGAAGAAGAATTTAGAAATATCCAAGTAGTGGTTGGGTAGAATGGGTGACTCAAGGGGCAACATCAAAAAGCTGTGCTATCTGGTAGGGTAACCGTTAGCCACAAGCAATGTTTAAATTAGTTCAAATTTAAAATTTAGTTTTTCAGTCACACTGGCAACATTTTAAGTATTCATTAGCCACATGTGGCTAGTGGCTACCATATTGGATAGGGCAGATATAGAACATTTCTATTATTACAGAAACCTGTCATATAGTGCTGTTATAGAGGATATAAACCTCTGTTTGGAAAAGAGAAGATCCTTTGACAATAAAAATGTAAAATGGCAAAAACACAGATGGTTTCTTTTCAGTTATATGTTGCTTCTAGACATGCTTCGCTAATTTTTGAGCAACATTTTAAGATACTAGACTTTTGTAACAGGTGACAGTGATGGTTTTATACTTAAAAATGCTTTACAGTTTTATCATATGTCAAGCATTTTGGACTCAAAATTATTTAATTTTGCACTTTACATATTTTATATGGTATAAAGCTATTACTTTAAACAAAATGAAAATGAGGAGTGTTATTTATAAGGTTATTGGGGTAATTTATAACAAAACAGTTTACTAGTATCCTTAAGTTTATTTTGTGTTCTCTATTAAGGTTTTATAATTTTACAGTTTTTTTTATGATGGAGCTTTCTATAGAAATATCACCTAACTGAAGGACTTCGTCCCTTTTAAAAAATAGAATTCAGTACCTTAATTATTTTTATACTTCAAAAAACTCATCTTAGTGTTTTTTCAAAAGGTTTTAAAATGTAACATTAGCTAGCTTCTTTAACTTTATCACGCTATGCAATGGTTGCTTCTTTTCCTCTTAATATCCTAATTTTCTTACTCAGTAAAAAACAGTTGGGGCTTTTTTAAATTTTAATTTTCTTTTTTCTGAAACAGATTCTCAGTGTGTCACCCATGCTGGAATGCAGTAGCACAGTCACAGCTCACTGCCGCCTTAACCTCCTGGGCTCAAGCGATCCTTCTTTCTTTGCCTCCTGAGTAGCTGCAACTACAGGCATACACCAATATGCAGCTAATTTTTAAATTTTTTTGTAGAGATGTGGTCTCACTTTGTTGCCCAGGCTAGTCTCAAACTTCTGGGCTCAAGTGATCCTTCTCCTTGGCTTCCCAAAGTGTAAGGATTATAAGCATGAGCCACTGTGCTTAACAACAACAACAACAAAAAGTTTAATAAGTAATTTACAGAGAAAGATGTTTTCTTTTACTTTGTAGTACCAGATGCTCCAAGAAATAATTTTGTTTGAAGTTTTAGGTAACTGTCATTTTGGCAAGGCCAAAAAAGTTACATGTGTTCTTTTGGGAAAGGAAGAGGTGAGACTGTCACTGCCGACAACATGATCTTATGTGTAGAAAACCCTATAGACTCCACCAAAAACCTGTTAGAACTATTAAACGAATACAGTATAGCTGTAGGATACAAAATCAACAGACAGAAATTAGTAATGTTTCTATGCACTAACAGTGAACTATGCAAAAAAGAAATAAAGAGAACAATATCATTTACAAAAGCTACAAAAAAAATTAAATTTTACCAAGGAAGTAAAAGACCTGTATACTGAAAAACATAAAATGTTTAAAGAAATTGAAGATACAATTAAATGGAAAGCAATCCTGTATTCATGGATTGGAAGAATTTATATTGTTAAAATGGCCATACTACTCAAAGCGATCTACATATTCAGTGCAATCCCTATCAAAATTCCAGAGTTATTCTTCATAGAAAAAAATCCTAAAATTCATGTGAAACCACATAAATCCCTCAATAGCCAAGGCAATTATGAGCAAAAATAACAAAAAACAACCCACCACACTACCTTATTTTAAACTATATTACAAAGCTGTAGTAGTTAAAACAGCATGATATTGGGGGAAAAAGACATCAGCCAATGGAACAGAATAGAGAGCTTAGAAATGAAACCGTTATATAGGTAGTTGACTGATTTTTGACAAAGGTGCCAAAACTACACAAAGGAAAGGATAGTCTCTTAATAAATGTGATGTTGGGAAAATTGTATTTCCGTATGTAGCAGGATGAAATTAGATCATTATCTTATACCATATATAAAATCAACAAAAAATGGAATAAAGACTTAAATGTAAGGCTAGAAACTCTAAAACTGCTAGAAGAAAACATGGGGGGAAAAAAACTACACAACAGTGGTCTGGGCACTGATTTTTTTTGGATTTGAACCTAAAGTCACAGGCAAGAAAAGCAAAAGTAGACAAATAGGAATACATCCAACTAAAAAGCAAAGGAAACAACTGTGCAGAGACAACCTACAGATTGGGAGAACATATTTACATTCATTCTATAAGGGGTTGATAATTCAAAATATATAAGGAGCTCAACTCAATACCAAGAAAACAAAATTGTTAAAACATAGGCAAGACATTATCCTAGGCAAACTGACACAAACAAAACCAAATACTGCGTGTTTTTTCTTAAAAGCGGGAGCTAAACATAGGGTACAAATGGACATAAAGATGGGAATAGTAGACACTGGGTACTACAAGGGTGGGAGAAGAGCAAGGGTTAAAAAACTACATACTGGTGGCTGGGTGCCGTGGCTCCCACCTGTAATCCCCGCACTTTGGGAGGCCATTGAGGGTGGATCATGAGATCAGATCAAGATCATCCTGGCCAACATGGTGAAACCCCTTCTCTACTAAAAATAAAAAACAAAATTAGCTGGACATGGTGATGTGCACATGTAGTCCCAGCTACTTGAGAGGCTGAGGGAGGAGAATTGCTTGAACCTGGGGGGTGTAGGTTGCAGTGAACCGAGATCCAAGATTGCACTGCTGCACTCCATCCTGGCGACAGAGCAAGACTCAAAAAAAAAAAAACCCAAAAAACTTCATATTGAGCACAGTGGCTCATGCCTGTAATCCCAGCACTTTGGGAGGCCAAGGTGGGTGGCTCGCTTGAGGTTAGGAGTTTGAGACCAGCGTGGCTACTGTGGTGAAACCATGTCTCTACTAAAAATTAAAAAAAAAAAAAAAAAGTAGCTGAGTGTGGTGGTGGGCACCTGTAGTCCCAGCTACTGGAGAGGCTGAGAGGCAGGAGTATTACTTGAACCCAGGAGGTAGAGGTTGCAATAAGCTGAGATGGCACCACTGCACTCCAGCCTGGATAACAGAGTGAGACTGTCTCTCAAAACAAAACAAAACAAAACCCTACCTGTTGGATATTTTGCTCACTATATGGGTAACAGGTTCAGTTGTACTCCTGAACTCAATATCACACAATATACCTTTGTAACAAACCTGGACATATCCCCTAAATCTAAAAGTTGAAAAAAAAAAAAAAAAACTGAGCAGGAGACCTGAATAGACATTTCTTAAAAGAAGAAATAGCCAATAGATGTATTTTAAATCCTCAAAAACTCTAATCATTAGGGAAGTGCAAATTAAAATCACAAATGAGATATCCTTTCACACTTGTTAGAATGGCTTATCAAAAAGATGAAAGATGACAAGTGTTGGTGGGGAAGTGGGAAAAAGGGACCTGTTGCACACTTTGTGTGGTCGGATGTGTAA